AATTTCTCCACCCCAAAATTTCTATGAGTGAGAGAAGTTTGTTTTGCTTATTTTGTGTATATTCCACACAATAAATTTAAAATATTTAATTAATACAAAACCTACTTATATCTCCTTTGGTGTTTGAGATGTAAATCCAGATACTAAAATCCAGTTATGTGGATTCCTGCTGACACCAATGAGACCTACAACTGCAACCAGGAGAGTTGAACTGGACCTTTGTGACATGAGGAGAGAAATTACATTTACATCTAGATGAATTCATGGGATCAGAATAGTTTGTGTTGGAAGGGACCTAAAAGTTCATCCTGTTCCAACCCCCATGGGCAGGGACACCTTCCACTAGACCAGGTTGCTCAAAGCCTCACCCAATCTGGCCTTGAACACTGCTAAGGATGGGGCATCCACAGCTTCTCTGGGCAACCTGTTCCAATGCCACCACTCTCTGAGTAAAGAATTTCTTCTAATATTTAATCTAAATCTTCTCACTTTTAGTTTAAAAACATTTCGCCTTGTCCTGTCTGCCATCTGCCCATGTAAAAATTTGCTCTCTCTCTTTTTTATGTCTCCCTCACTGAGAGGCAGAGTATAACCTGCACACCACTCTCTGCCATCCACGTGGCTGTGAGCCACTCAGCTGTCCTTTGTGTTTCTGATTTCTCATCCTTGAGTTTTCACTTGCACAAAGGAAAGAAGCAGCAAAGCAGCTTTTGTGTTATCATTGTATTTTCCAAGTGAAGCAAACCAACTGTAGCATAGTGTTTAATACTTCAAAGTGTGCTGTGATGACATCCAGAAATACTGACTCCCAACTACCTTCACATTAATCAAGTTGTGTCTGAGCCAGACCACTGACTAGTATGTGAAATAGTAAATAATAATAAATACAATAAAAAAGCATGCTTGGGCTTGGCTCAGACACACAGCAAGAACATGATACTAATTACTCAACAGGACTTTCACCTGCAACTCTATGCAAAAGGATTTGTGTTTCATTGGTGTAGTGAGTCTTCCAGGAAAGGAGAGAGGAGCCTTGACAGCCACTGCAGGGGTGACTCAGAGCTGGCCCCATCATGCAACCTCCACTCAACAGAGGATTTCATTTTCTACTTATTTAAATGTAATAAACTTGCTGCCAGCCATGGGCATTAATTGCTTATCAATAATAGTCTGAGTTAAATACATAATGTTTACAGTGGATAACTCGCAGCTGCTAGTTACTGTGCCAGCATCTCCATCAATTCTCAGTGAAGTTTGTTCTGCAATTACTGATTTTCCAGGTGAGCTGATAAGCAACTGCAAGCCCAGCAATGATATCTCTGAGGCATTCTCTTCTGTTAGTAATGTCAGAAAACAAACCACAAGGCTAAAAAATTCTTACAGTCAACTTGGGGGTTTTGCATCATATTTTACCAGAAGTAAAAACTACTCGAATTTTAGGATGCTAAGAGTAGAATTAGGGCATTGCTTTTGATTACATCTCTGAAATGGCAAATCCTAGACAAAAAAAAAAAAAAAAAAAAAATTAAAAAAAAAATAAATTGGTGTCCAGACACAATTTTTCTCTCATTTCTTTCTCTAAAAGTTTGAAAATCTGTAAAATATTTGGTTAAAGAACTTCTTGCTATGATCCACTGTATTAAAAAGTTTTCAAAAAAATTATGGACATATTATGACCATTTTATACATATATATATGTTCTAAAAAATGAATACTGTAGTATCTCTTGCATTTCTATGCCAATCTTGCTTGACATACTTTTTGCAATTTCAAGGGGGGAAAAAAAAATGATCAGGAAAAGCTGAGAGCATCCTAGCAAGTATAGAGAGGGCAAACCAATTTCTAAGAAATAATCAGAACTAAAGATGGCAGGTTAACCTGCTTCATCCTTTTGCTTGTGTTAAAGGAGACTGAGAAGGGCTGTGGTGAGGAGAGGGAATAGAAAGGAGCATTGCACAGATCAGGCAAAGGACTGCATACGCCGAGCACCTGGATCTCAGACAGATAGAGATGCAGATAAATAATCTTGTGTCTCTTTTACAGCCTTCCTAAGCACTAATTAACAAAATCTTGAAAGCAAATGAAGAAGAGTTTCGATAATTTTAGTGCTTTTCCTGGTGTTAACCTGGAAGAGTTCTTGCAAATGCTGTATTTGATGAGGCAGGACCAGCATGTCTTTTGAGTTTACACCAAGAAATAAACACCTGGCTTTGTTCTTGTCTTTTTGACATAAAATGATCAATACATCATTTTTAGTTTAATACAAGTGCAAATATATGATGAGCATGAACTGAGGTTCCAGAGTAGGAAATTACTGCTTACAGTAAAACTGGAGTGATGGCGTGAGGTAATCCAAAAGCTTCAAATGATGATTAACTCTAGTGAAGAACGGATATAAAACATAACCTTTATAAAATCTTCTGTGTTTCACATCTTTTCATGTTAATTTTGGAGGAGGAAACTTAGAAATTGTAAGCAATAGGGGAGCTGAAGATAGCAATCTTTCAATAAGAAAAAATAATTACAATCATTATAATACACTCTTTCAAGTCTCTTATCCCTTCTCCTTTTACCTCATTTCAAAATGGCATGCATGACTTTTAAGAAGTGGTTAATATTTACATAGTCTTGGCAAAACTAGATCCCAGCATGTAGATAACCAGAATGTATTAGCATCATTTATTCATCTGAATCAGTTTTTTCCAAATCACTCTTATCAGACTGTAAATTCCTAAGGACAGAGGCTGTGATTCCAGCATCTCATTTACTTCTGCAAAACGTTGAATAATGTAGCTCACACACACACTGTTCTACTACATTACCCTTCCATTTTTCCTTTTCAGAGGATCACCAAGGTTTTCCTTTCCACTTGCAATGGCTGAGCATGTGTTAGTTCCCTGGAGTTTAGAAAGTGAGTTCTGGTTTGCACTGGAGTTAGACAAAAGCCAAAATCATTAATTCCTATAAACTGCTTGAGTGAATAATTTGTCATACACTAAGACAGTTCCTTGCATTGTTGTAAGATGCATTTTAAATGTCTCATGAAACATTTTATTTTTGTGTGAAATATTAAATTTCAGCAGATATACAGGGTCAATTTATAACCTACTCTAATTTAACCTAATTTGCCAAAAGCTGACCAAAGTTTAATTTACTTATGATCTTCAAATGCTGGAAGAGGTTGGTGTGCTTACACGGACTCACACCATTGAAAAAATATATATCAAACTGTGTAAGTAAATTATCTTTATTCTTGCATTTTAAGACACATTGAATCACAAAGCCGTTTTTAAAAATCTGGGGCCTTTTTTCCAGAAAATACTGGTTTGTTAGAACTGAAACTTTTTTATTGCCAGTATGTGGTCTTTCTCAGTCCTTTCCCTGGGAAAATTAAAAAAAAAAAAAAATAAAAATTGAATTACACAGTTCACAATATAAAAACCTATCCATCACTTAAATTTTGATTTATTTGAAAACTTTTTGGAAAAGCTAGAAAATCTGCCCAGATTCCCTTAGGTCAAATGATGTTACATCTACATGAAGGAGGATTTTTTTCCTCTACCAAACAATGAAAGTAATCTTGATTTAATCACAGTGCTGAACAGGATTATTTTTTGAAATGCCAATATTTTACCAGACTATCTTTCACTGAGGCAAATAAGCAACATGGAAAGTTTTTAAGAGGAAATAATGGCACTATGAAAACACAGGTATCAGTATGGGGAATGTCTATAGTAGGGCAGGATAAGTTTCTTATTCCCTTCACCCGCGTAGGGAGTTTATTGTCCATGGAGTATCAAAAGGTAATTGGGAACTTACCACTCCTGCTGACCCCAGAGATTTTTCTCTTATAGTGAAAATTTAAAATGTATCATGGGAACAAAAGTCCTAGACTTGGGAGTCTACATTTTTCACAGTGAAATGGAGAATATTTTATACTCTTAGCTTGAGTCAGACAAATACTAATCAGGTTTTTCCCCTGTATCTTTGCATCAGAGAAGATTTCCACCAGTATGACAAAGAAGTTGCTTGCATGAGGAATGTGCCTCAGCCTCAGAATTTCAGTACCTATGATGTATGGTAATGTTTGTAGAACTTCAACCAAAATTTTTTATTTTCTATTTTTAGGATTCCAAAATTCAAGTGATTACAGTAGACAGACAACTGATCGATTATTTGACCAACTTTTTGTGCACCTGTTCTGCCTCACTTTGCAAATTAAATGTATATCTAAATCAAATGAGAAAATATGGGCTCAGTTTTCATCATAACACCATCAGTATTTATCTTTTCTGTGCATTTTATTTACTGAACTTGGGGAAGAATTACCATGTCATGGTTATTAGGTCATGCAGACAATACTTTCCCAATACCAATGTCCAGCCCCAGGTCACTGATTTGTTTGCACAGTGTAATTTTTGTGTCGTTCTCAGGATCTCTGTTGATGGAGAAAATGAAACCCCAGTTCCGTGACAACGGGTAGTCTTTGACAGTCAGTACTCTTTTTCTTTAGAATGATTCTCCTCCAAAACTCTGAAGAGAAACAGAAGAGAAAACAATTTGAGCAGAAACTGGGAGAAGAAACAGCCAAAAGACTTCTGCCACCTACGCACACATTAACGTTGTTACAACTTTCTCCTGACTCACAGATAATTGACACATCTTATATTCTAGGATTCCTTTTTAGACAGAAGTGTGTGTCAGAGAAGTTCTTGGAAACAGAGGCTCAACAGAAGTGCTGTTTTTATGTGTCTGTCCCTTAAGGACATCACTCAATGCCCACCTGATTACATTACACAGCACATTAGCATGAAGTGTCCTTTCTTTCAGATGAATTGGTATTTTTGCCATTTACACATAATTACATAGGTACATGATCTTAGCTTCAAAAGGAAAAAAAAATATAATTTATCTACTATTTACTACTACTTTGCACCCTCTTCAGAAATTTTCTGATTTAAAAATGCCAGGTTATGATAGATATACCTTTCAACTTTTTCTCCAAGCAATGTTCATTCATCCCTTTGCAATCTTCTAATAGTCCCAAGAGTGCAGGACAAGAAAATGAAGAATAACAGCATGAATCACAGTGAATGTAATCTGAAAAAGACAGCAGTGCATGCTTTGGAATTTTCCTTATTTTTCAAGCATCTGAACTTTATTTATCCACAAATGCAAGATGAAGGACTTCACACTTTGTTTCAAGGTCTTTTCCAAGGACAAAGGTAAGGGTTTCTGCCTTTAGAAAGAGGTTTGTAGTGATACTCCTACCTATTTCTCGTGACTTTTCAGAAAATTTAATTTTTAAACCTTCCCAGTCAGGAACTGCTGTGCTGTATATTCACTACCTAGACATTCTGCTTCTTTTTTGCATTTGATGCATCAGAGCTCTTCTAGGAAGAGTGTGTTGCTATATTACCATTTCTCTATTATTCATCCAAATGTTTCAAATGAATAACATTTGGATGAATATTCATCCTTCCAGAATATTATTTTAGAAATAAAAGTAGGTTTGTGTGTTTGAAACCAGAGCATTCAGAACTTAAAACGTACTAATTTCTTAGAAGGAAAAATTATAAATTATCTAGTCAAGAACCTATTTTTGAAGTAATTCTTTTAATACTCATATTGTTTGGTACCAAATTCATCATAAAAGGGGATCATGCAAAATGAGAGGGCTTAATTTTTGCAACTTAGTGAAAGTGCATAATGTGAAGACAGAAATTTCATGATTAGAGAGTGAATCACTTTTCATCTCAGACATTTCCCATTCTTAAAAATAATCCATTGACCTATTTCCTATAAACTTTGTCTCTAACAACTTCAAACTCATTTAGCATTGTATCCACTGCCTTTCTCTACAGAACCTCTAGGGCTCTTTTCTCTCTGACCCATTTTTCTCTTTATCTAATGTAGTAAATAAATAAATAGTAAATAAGAACAGTAGATTTTATTTTCTTGTTGCCTCTCTTGCCCATTACTTCCATGTTGTGCTCTGTTCCTGGGAATAATGATCAACGGTAACTAGACAGGCTCTCCATTCAAACCCTAGCAATAAATCTTTGTCTGCCAAACCCTAATTCATATAAATATCACCCAATCAATTACAAAGTTTTCAACTAGACCCCATAAATCTTTTCTGAGAAGTTGTTTACTCCTTGATGTAGGCAATGAATCCAAACATGTGCCTATCGTGTTGTGCAGCTCACTGCCAATTCCCTAAGAAATCCAAGCAATTAATAACGTGTATGAGTGAGACACTATATTCATCTCAACTGGCTGCAGGTACTTCCAGTGGTTTAGTTAGGAGTTTGGATTCCTTATGTATATCCTGAAGTCAACAGGGAAAGATGGACATCATTGGAAACAAATCAACTCAACTACAATTTGTATTGTCCTCTGGAGACTTACTCCTTATTCAATGTCTAATAAGGTGGTGTCTAAATAAGCTGCATCTGTATTTGTGAGACTGTTTGATGCCCTGATTGGCAAGATTATTAGGGAAATAAATAAATTACAGAGTAGAGTCCCTCTATGTCAGTTTTTGAATCATCCCACTCTTTCCGAATGGGATGAGCAAACTCTCTGAGTCAGTCTTTGGGACTTAGTGGAAACCCTGCTGACTAAACAAGCAAGATGCACTATTTAACAAAAGGAAAAATGATTAGCGAGAAACCAGCAGCTAATTCTTGTGACAAATAACCTGCAAGGACATAAAAACCACTCAACTATTTATATTAAAAAAATAGAACTACACAATTTCATTGTGTATTTCACTGATGATTTCAGGTAGAGAAATAGTTTTTATGCCTAGAAAATTCAATGAGAGGATAATATATCTAACATACTTTGCATCTGAAATAAATTGTATTTAATTGAAATGTTTCACCAGACTTTCTTAGCTGCAGTCTACCCCAAACTAGACACAGAACATACCAGACATCTCCCATTTTTGTTAGAGCTACTTAAAGTTTTGCATATATACAGGATCACAGAACTCTAAGCAAGTCCTGTTTCCTACTCTGGGCTGATTCAGAACTGGATGTTCTGCTCTGTGGTAGTGCAGCAGACATGATTATATCTTGCTTAGGGCATGTTTAACGCACAAAATTTAGGGTCTCAAGAATGAATGTATGGCTACTTGAGCAAACAAAATCCAAAGAAAAAGCTAAAGTTTGTCCTTTTTCAAAATAACTTCATTGTATTTGCAGAACTCATGCAAAATAAGTTCAGCTGCCACCTCATCCTACAAATCTGACCCTCTCACACAGCTCAGGCTCTGCTCATTACTGAAGTCAAGAATGTGACACTATGCAGAAAAGCCTGGACCAAAAAAAGTGTTTGCAAGCAGCAATATCATAGCACTCAACACAGAGTGTGATTTGGCTCTGAGCCCAAATTAGGATACATTTCTCAAGTGAGTTCCTAATTTCCCAGCCGAGGCAAGTTTTTTGATTGTTTGTGGGGTTTTTTTTCTCTGTTAAACTGCAATTAGTTTAATTTAAAATCACAGTGGTTTCAGCAGAGAAGCAGCACCAATTCTTGTCATTCCCAGCAGAGTTTGTTCTGCAAACATATTTGTTACAGCGGTGGAAAATCAAATAGATTTCAGCTGCAGAAGAGTGAAAAAGGAGACACCCAGCTATCAGGTCTCTGCTGAGAGTCAGGAGGACTCATCTCTGCTGCTATTGCCAAACCAATGCTGGTGTGTGGCTGCAGGAACACTTTTCCTCCTCTGCTCTACTTCAAGTTAAACAGATTAGTATAAACCAGCTATTTGACCCATAATGACATAACCCAGAAGTTCAGCATTGACTCCAGCTATATCAAGTTGTAGTTTCAACACCCTGCCTACAGAGGGACACCATTTTAAAAGCTTAGGATGCTGTTTGTGCAAGGGCGTGAGAGGCTGTATCATCCTGCCTGGACCCAGGGAAATGCACAGTGTAAATGTCCCTGGGGACTATTGGCTGATGGCTAAGAGCTAGAAGGTTGTGCTGTGTGCTCAGAAAATATAAATATAGTTTCTACGTTCATCAATGAAAAGATAAATTGTCCTGCGGCCACAAAACTCTGTGTTGGTTCTATCCCAAACATTGCTGGCTACTGTAAAGGCACTTATAAAATCCAATGAGGGTGATGATATGATTGAATTCAGACCAGAGAGTTTAATGGATAAAGTTGTGGTTTGGAACTAAAGCTTCACTTATGTGGAAGAGCTGAGCACACCTGAAAGCAATTAATTCTTCTGAACAAACTTTAATTTAATGTCAGAATAAACATGGGCCTTGGTATTTAGTATGACAACACCTAAGCAGGTCCTCAGTGATGTGATAGAATTTCCTGGCTTTATAAAATGAAGTTTAATGATTCACAGTGCTTTCAAGAAGTTGAGCAGATCAGTTAAAAAATTAGTATATTTTCAATACATATGACAATGAGATTTTAAAATATTATCCTTGTATCTTTATAAGCCATGTATAATAAAGTAGAGGAGAGAAAAGAATTCAAGGCTTTTCCTTGCTGGCACAGAAAGTAAGAGAGTGACAAGAAGCTCATTCTCTCTCCTCACAAATTCATTAATCCTCATTTGTAACTTCCTGTATGAGAAGGAAGATACATTCCTCTGGTGATGGAAAAATACTATCTGTAGAATGTTCCTGTGTATGAAGTGCTATGCTGCAGCTCACAGAAAAACTTCAACTCAAACATAATCCCTGTTGGAGTGGGTCCAGAGAAGGCCATGAAGATGATCAGAAGGCTGGAACTCTCAGCCTGCTAGGAAAACAGGCTGAGAGAGCTGGGGTGGTTCAGTGTGAAGAGATGGCTCTAGGGAGACTTTATTACATCCTTTCAATGTGCAAAGGGGGCTTATAAAAAAGACAGACTTTTTAACCAGTGCCTATAGTGACAGGACAACATTTTTAAACTGAAAGTTAGATTTAGATTGGACATCAGGAAGACTTTTTTTTTTTTTTTTTTTTTTTATGTTGAAGTTGTTGAAGCAGTGGAACAAGTTGCCCAGAGAAGCTGTGGATGCCCCATCCCTGAAAGTGTTCAAGGCTGGGCTGGATGGGGCCCTGAGCAACCTGGTCTACTGAAATTTGTCCCATGGCAGGAGCATTGCACTGGATGATCTTTAAAGGTCCTTTTTAATAGACCATTTTTAGCAGACCATTCTGTGATTCTATGAAAGATCACCAATGTTTATGCAAGCAATACTTCTGGCTTTAGTACACTTGGAGTGAAGCCCATATGTCCACTCTGCATAATGACCTGGAAAACTGCCACTGCCCTCCTGCAGGGACAGGGATTTGCTACGCTCCCTCACACACTGTCCTCTGTACCCCCTGTAGGGGAGCATCTCAGCTAACAGGGAGAAGATACACTTCGTTAGTCAATAGAGTTTGTTCTCTGCCCCTCATGTTAAAACCACACCCTGCATAGCCAAGATACTGAAGAAATGCAACAAACACTTCTAGCAGATCCAAGGACCTGGTGCTTCACCTCTATCCTAGAGATTTTTCTTCAAAGTCTTTGAGCAGCATCTATTGAAATATTTGTGAGGTTTGCAGAGGGACAAAGTCACTGTTATGTGCCAAATATGACAGTGGGTTTTGGTTTTTTTGCTGAGTGCTTCTTCCTTCTTTCAATTTATATCTCTAATGAATTCCCATCTGTACCAGTTCAAAACTTTCTCTGATGACTTACATCTGTTTGGAGCTTGACCTGCAATAACAACTTGTTTTTGAACCAGGTAGTGAAATGTGTAGCTCTCTGGACAACTGAATAAAAAATCCTATATGTACAGCCTGGAAATAGGTGTGTAATGACCACCCTGCCAGACCCAGCAGCTGCCACTAAGAAAGAGATGCACCTATCTGCCTCAGAGCACTTCTTTCAGATTTACCACGATAAATATTCCAAGGAGTAGCAGTCATTGTATATACAGAATTTTTTGCATTTACAAAGGTATTTCAGTTTCATTAACTACATTTGAAAGTTTTCCTGCAGTCAGCTGAGGAAAGTGAGGCACTCCTGCCCTGATTCAGTTTCCAGACCAGTAAAAAAAGGAGTAATGTAATTCCGCTTATCTTTTT